GCTCAGGTAGGAAGAATAACTGTTCTGTAGTTGCTGGGGGAATATAAGACATTTGTAACATGATGATTAATAAATGGTAGTTTACATAGCAACAGAAACTATGGAAATGAAGAAAACTTCAAGTGGAAGCAAAAACAGAAAACTTACTTTACCCCCAAATACTTCATCCAAAAATTTATGGGATTGACTTAATGTGAATTTTTTTAATGATAAACATTTTTTTTCTTTTTTATTTCTCCACTGTGCAGCCCTCTTCAGTGCCAGCAGCCTATAGGCACAGGCCAGGCAATGGTTCAGGGCCACAGTTTGCTCTGGCATGGGACATTATGAAAGACCCAGGGGGACGGGCCTGCCATATGATAAATATTTTAAGAAAAAAAAAGAGGCAGACTGTGTCTATACCCTGAATATTTCCAATAATAATACTTCATAGTACTGGAGTTAACATTTTAAAGGAAACGAAACACTGAGGCTACAGTTGTGTCTTGTCTACTCGGTTTCCTACAACCCCACTCCCAGTTCCCGGGCTGACTTCCTCTTCTGTGTTCTGTTTCTTGGGGCCTCCTTCCTTTACCCTCAGCCAACAGTCACCACAGCAGATTCCTCTCGCGCTGTACTTCCTGCATCCTGGCTAAAGAATCCCCTGCTTTCTCTAGAGCTCCAAGAGCACTCTGAAGAGGAAAGAAGGCCCTGCCTGGCCTTCCAGGGCGGCTACTGTCTCAAGGGAGCCACGATCAGGCCAGAAAGAAGAGTGAGGAATCTTGCCAAGATGCCACCAGGCAGACACTATGCCTGTGGCGCCTCATGACATCTCTAAGAGGTCATCATCATCTCTACTTTGGGAAAAAGGAAGCCAAGGGAAAAGACCTACAGAGAGTCCATGGCTAATACATGGCATTACTGAATTCACATGCAGATTATTTCTTTGAGGCAGAACAGAAGCAACAGGACCACTTCCACTCCAGAGTATATGAGGAAGTGGTGGTCAATGGCACAAGTCCTGGGGTTTTCAGGTGTGGGCACATAGCTGTAGCCTACGTGAATAGCTATTTGGTCATTCTTTATAAAACCAGAACTCACTAAAAATATTTGTACAAAGAAGGGAAAAAATATTTTAAAAGCCCAGTAACATAAGATAAGACCTTAATCTCTTTCATCCCTTTGTTAGTTCTATCTTTGTTAATTCTACATACAGTTGCAGTCAGGAACCTGGATTCTAGATGTGGCCTTACCACTTAAAAGCATGTGACCATGGCAGGTTCTTCCCTTCCCCTCCCAAGGCCTCTGTTTCCACATCTGTAAGATAGGGATAATAACACCTTCTCTGCCTACTCCCCTGGGGGTATTGTAGGCTCTGCTGCAAACAATGGGAGAAATTATACCAAAGTTCCATTTGCACCTGGATATTCTATGTATACCTGTGTCCTGGGAGTCAAGGGGTAGTGGGGCTCTCTGCAACTCTCTTCCCTAGCACCCAGCTCCTTGCTCTTGATATTCAGCAGTCTCCAGAATCACCAGTCTTGTGTAGAATACTTTAATGATCTCCAAAGATTCTCACATTCCTGAGATAGCAGATAACAATAGCTAAGATTATTCTACTTATTACATGCCAAACACTATGTTGGATATTGATAATTTTTATCTTGAATCATTAAAATAATTCTGGATGATATTAGTTTTTAAATTAGTAAAACACAGTTCTATATTTGTGTCTTGTTATGTGATATATAGGTATATCATACCTCTCAATATAAAACTCACATGTTGGTGTTAGTTTTAACCCAGAGAGCACTGGATAATCACTAAGAGTTTGTAAAACAGAGCACAAGAACAACTGAAGTGTCATAGGGAGAGGAAATTGTGCTCTTAATAGCAAAGAACTTTGTGGGAAATCATCCTTTTCATAGACGTTGGAGAAATGTAGGTATTACTACCCCCATTTGGCAATTAAGAAACTGTAGTCAGAGTGGCAAAATAACTTACTCAAAATCTTAGCCAATGAGTGCTATGATGCCAGAATTTAAACCTAAGTCTAACTGGATCCAAAGTCCATTTTCTTTCAATCACATTACATGCCTTGCCTACAGAATCAATCTGGCCTCCTCTGATCACATCCCTCCTCCATCCAAGCACAAGGCCAATTAAAGTTTGGAGTCATGCATAAAAGCAAAAGTAATACTCGTGGCATCATTATCTAGCCTTCCTTGAAATTGAGTGAGTGGAGTGTGAGTTAGGGTAGGTATGGAGAACTGTGGCTGCGGTAGATGGTAAGACTTAAGCTAGAAGTCTTGAAGTGGTCCATATGAAGACTGCTGAAGGAGGATGTTAATACCGTAACATTCTGGGCCAAAGCAACATGAATTCATATAATACACATTGTTTACTGTCTTCTGTAGGCTGGTGCTGGAGCTGGAGTGCTCAGATGGGGTTCTTGCCCACTTACAAGCACTCAAAAATACTGAGTTGATGGAATGCTTTATGTTAAATGTTTAAAAATAAATTTTAAAAAATACCACAAGATAAAGCTTGTTTAAAAAATGCTATTTTTCAGAAATAAGCAGGAAATGGACAAAGAAAGTATCAGAGCTGGGACTGTTTATGAACCCATTCTGGTGTTTGTGTGCCTGTTGTGGAAAGCTGCATGAATTACAGAAGTGAAGGAAGGGGACTGGGGACATATGGAGGTCATCTTTGGTCCACCAGCTTCCCACAGAGGATAGAGAGGCTGGGCCCCTCCTATTCCTGTCTTCCCAGAATAGATAGAACATAACTGGAAAAGGCAGAGGATTTGAGACCTCAGAGCACTAGCCCCAATAATGTACTGCCATTTGAGGCTGTCTTAGCTAAGAAGGCAACACATCATCACAAACAGCCCTCAGTCCTGAGAACCCTCTCCCATCAGCTTTCCTCTATTCAGTCTGGGACCCAGTGGAATGATTACCAGATGGCTCTGCTAGTTGCACAGATTTGTAGCAACCTAGTCCATCTCTGAAGAAGTAAGAAGATAGGAAAGATATTTTTAAAAATGGAAATGTAATCTAACTTCTTTTTAACAGATTATTGGAGTTTACAAAGCCTTTGCATCTACTCTTTCATCTATTTAGATTTGATTCTCAGAATAATCTATGAAGTAGAGACTGTATTATACCCATTTTACAGATGAGGGGAACAGAAGCCCAGAAAAGGTAGTATATGTTAATTATATGCTAATTGCAGTATATATATAAGATAGGAAAGCACAGAGAAGATGAATACTTCTGAGTGCAATAGGGAGGACCTATAGGGAAGGATTCCTGGAGGTGACTCAAGAACTGAGTAGGAATACACAATTATGCACTACGTAGACCAAGAAGGGGAAACTCCAGGTAGATGACGTTGCCAGGGCTTGAAACCATGAGGAATGCTGAAGAAGTTTCAGAAGTAAGATGAACAATGATGATGACAATGACAGTGAAGATGGCAATGATAGTAGTTCACACCTATCCATTGCTTACCATATGCAGATGCTATGGAAACAGATATTGTTCTCAATAGTTTCTCTACGTTAGTCCTCATACCTATCATGTAAGGTGCTTTTATTACCCCCATTTTCCAGATGAAGAAACTAAGGCACAGAGAAGATATGGTAATACAGAAAGGATACTATGTGCTAACTTAAGAAGTAGGAATTTTATCCTAAGAGCCACATATCCTAAGAGAAGGCTTGAAGCACTCTTTGTAGAAAGAAGGTGGCATAGATTTGTGATTTAGAAAGTCTCTCTGAAGCAGGGTGTGCTGGGGTTGAAGAGGGAAAACAAAGTGGGAGCCTGGCTAGGTTATTTGTCCAAAGAACTGAACAGAGACGGTGGGGATAGAAAGCAGAGGCCGAATTCAAAAACTTCTGGTGTTGGTAGGTAGACAATTGTCCTTCACCTATTCACTTCCTCTACCAGTAAAGGCAGAATAATATGTTTCCAGCTACCTGCTTCAGGAATTGCTTGACAATTAATGGGGCAGAGTTCTGACTGCCTTTCATGTGTTAAACAACACCTCTGTGCTACTGGCGGTGCATATTAACTGCTGAATATATAAAACGTGCTTTGATGGAGGACCCAGGCATAATTATAGCTTTCTAATTATTGTTAATTTTACCACAGCTTTGGAACTCTGAACTTTCTCAATGATTCAAAAAGAGATGGCAACTCCTCCATCCCATTAAAGGAGCCACACAGTGGCAGGTTAGCAATTTCTCACCGGCTCCATTCTTTCATTATGTGCAGGTTCGGAGACGTACCCGAAAAAGAAAACTTTGCTCTTCTAGAATCAAGTTATTTATTCAAAGAACTCCTTATAGTCTTGCTGGTTATTTAACATTTTTTTTCCTTTTCATCTCCTAATACTGAATACAGACATAATGTACCAAGCGTGTGAAGGAACTTTTAATAATTGGACACTGGGATACCTAGGTTTTAACAGTGTTTTTCTTTAGATTCTGCACCGTTTCTTTTCCACATTTATTTAAGATCTCACAACAGCTAGGCAGGATATCAAAGGTCCTTCCCAGGAATCTGAGGAAATTGTTGGCTGGGAGACCTTAGTCTCTAAGCCTCACCTGTATCACCTATATAGTGGGTATGATAGGTCGGCATGCCTGCCTGGGCTGGCATGAGGATGAGATAATGCTTGTGAACACTGAACTATATAAATGTGTGCTACTGGAACTTGGGGAGGAAGAGAGGGAATGAAAGAACTTGAAGGAAAGTGTTGGGGAAAGGGAGAGAGAAAGGAAGGGAGTGTGAGGACAAGGTGGGGAGGCCAGCGGCAGCCCTGAGCTTCACTTCCCCCTTGAAACTCCTGGGAATCCCTGCCCCGGAGAGCCGCAGGGACGCCCGAGGTCTGCAGCTAGAAGCCTTGCAGAGGGCGGATCCCTCCCAGGGTGGGGCCAGGAGGGCGGGGCCCGGGGCCCGCAGCCGCAGGTGAGTATCGGTTTCCCTCTTCCCGGCTTTCGGTCGGAGGAGGCGGGAGCAGCTTCTCCTGCCCCGATCCTATCGCGGGCGGCGCAGGGCAGTCTGGGCCCTCCGTGGGATGAGGAGTGGGGGTGATGTGTCACCCAAATACCAGCCGGTGAGTAGTCGCCGAACCAGCCGGGCAGGTCCGGCGGAGTATAAGAGCGGGAAGGAGCGGCCAGGAGGCAGACGCCTGCAGACTGTCCTGGTAGCCGGAGTCAGAGCCAGCGGAGCCCCTGCGCCTAATCCTCCAGTGCCCCGTCCGCGCTCTTCCGCCCCACTATGGCCAGGGGCCCCGGCCTCGCGCCGCCTCCGCTGCTGGCACTGCTGGTGCTGGCGGCCGTGTCTGGCTACGCTGTCGCGCAGTACAACTGCACATGCCCCACCAACAAGATGACCGTGTGCTCCCAGGATGGCCCTGGGGGCCGCTGCCAATGCCGCGCGCTCGGCTCGGGCGTGGTGGTCGACTGCTCCAAGCTGACTTCCAAGTGCCTGCTGCTCAAGGCCCGCATGAGTGTCCCGAAGAGCGGTCGTCGACTGGTGCGGCCGAACGAGCACGCGATCGTGGACAATGATGGCCTCTACGACCCCGAATGTGACCACGAGGGCCGCTTCAAGGCGCGCCAGTGCAACCAGACGTCGGTGTGCTGGTGCGTGAACTCGGTGGGTGTGCGCCGTACGGACAAGGGCGACCAGAGCCTGCGCTGCGATGAGGTGGTGCGTACCCACCACATCCTCATTGACTTGCGCCACCGCGCGACAGACCGCGCCTTCAACCACTCCGACCTGGACACCGAGCTGCGGCGGCTCTTCCGCGAGCGCTATCAGCTGCACCCCAGGTTCCTGACGGCTGTGCACTATGAAGAACCCACCATTCAGATCGAGCTGCGGCAGAACGCCTCGCAGAAAGTCCCCGGCGACGTGGACATCGCTGATGCCGCCTACTACTTTGAGAGAGATATCAAGGGCGAGTCGCTGTTCACGGGCCCAGGAGGCCTGGACATGCAGGTGCGCGGTGAGCCCCTGCACGTGGAGCGGACGCTGATCTATTACCTGGACGAGAAGCCTCCCCAATTCTCCATGAAGCGCCTCACCGCCGGCCTCATCGCCGTCATCGTCGTGGTCGTAGTAGCCTTGGTCGCTGGCCTGGTTGTCCTGGTGATCACCAACCGGAGAAAGTCCGGGAAGTATAAGAAGGTGGAGATCAAAGAACTGGGGGAGTTGAGAAATGAACCCAGCTTGTAGGTACACTGAGGGAAAGGGAGAGGGGTGGGTATCAGATTATCTCAGACCAAACTGAGTCACAATTCTTGATTCTTGGCCCAAAGGAGACATTTCTCTTCCCAAATCCTTACTGCACCCTCCCTCCTCCACACACACACCGAGTTTGATAAATTTGATATTTCCTGGTATCAGGGGACAGCTCTTCCTGACTTCTGTCTTGAAGGAAGCAATTCTAAAACTTCTTCCCTTTGGTCCAAGGAAAACTAACTCTGGGAATTAAGGGAAGGATGGCACTGAGCCACGTGTAAGAAGCAAGTGTCTTACAACCCAGCCTCTTTGCAAGTGATCAGATCTATCTGGAAGCTGTAAATGAGTTTAGAAGGCAAACAGCTCTTTTACTATCTTGAGTTTGTTATTTGATGAGCTCCCCAGTTATCATGGCCCTCCTTATTAATTGGGCCTGTGTAGTATCCTCATTTACCATTGTTTGTATTACCGACCACACAGCTTGTCACTAGGAAAGAAGCCTATTTCTACTGCCTGCCTGAACACATTTTAGATGTCTTAGTTTGAGGGCAGAGACTGCCCCAGAAACAGCTTCGATTCTCAGCTCTCCCTTATTACAGCTGATATCAGTAATGTTTTCTTTTGTAAAATGTTTGTATATATGTCGTCTTTGATAATACTGCTGTGATTTTTTTAAAAAACATGCATTTAATAAAATATGGGAAAGGCACAGATGAAAAGATGGAGTTTGTGAATACTCCCTCCGGATTTATACTACTTTGGCCTCTTCTCTCTGATTTCCCATGACTGGGGTATTTTTATTTCAAATCCTAACACTTCTTTTTTGCAGAGCGGTCATTTCATATTGCTACTGTGGTATTTTCTTAGCGGCCCTAACTGGCCAATTTAAATGCTGGTGAGTTTGAGGCGGGAGGCAAAAACTGGCCACGCTGGCTAAGAGAGGAGCCAGCCTTCTTTGACTACCTCTAAGCAAGTGTTGGCACCAGTAGAGAGGGAAAGGTCTAATTTGTTTCACAGCCCTACTCTGAAATAGGAGGTACTGTTCTCATTTAGTCCTTGGGAAAATTTATTAAGCTCAACATGTTGAAATTCTCCGAGAGGTTAAGAAACTTTCCCATGAAATTAAAGCCAGTGTCTGTGGTCAGCCCTATGAGCTGGCTGTGCACATGGCTGTTTTCTCTAGGATTTTACTATTAATGTTCTGTAAAGATTTTTTTTTTTTCCTTAGTAGCTGTAAAAACCAGGCTCTGGCTCTTTCATGCATTCTCCTCCTCCTCACTCATTTGCATTTATTTATGTGAAGCCAAGCATGGTGCTGAGGAGCAGCCTAAGTGTAAACAATGACAGTAATAACCAGGAAGCTGAGGGTACACTGGACAACTGTAAAGGAGGGAGTGGTTGGCATATCAAATATTCTGTAACTAATACACTACATCCAGGACTTCAGTTTCTCGCCCAGGAATCCATCTCATGCCCCTTTCCCCTCCACAGTCTATGCTAACCCCTGGAGACTGTAACATGGGTGAGAATGGGAGAGACTGCTCTCAGCCAAGGTCTTTGCAGCTCGCGCTGGGGGTTTCAGGTGCTGGAGAAGTTAATACTTCAGGATCACCACAGATCTCAGAGTCTGCTGCCACCCCAGCTGGGGAGGAACTGCTCTTCAAGCCTCAAAAATCTTCTTAGGCTCATACAAGATGTGACTTCACAGAGGGGCAGGGGAAGGATGTGGGCTGACTCCCTATCGTAGGACAGTGCCCAAAGTAAGAATGGTAGCAATGAGAGTGAGACTCCATTCTCAGGCTCCCTGGATGCTTCCCACTTCTGTGAGTCACTCACATGTCTTAGCATAAAGGACCTTGGTAATGGCCTCTGACCTAACCCTTCATTTCTTTTCTTTTCTTTTCTTTTCTTTTTTAAAGAGCAAGTGCCTTCTCTAGTTTAATGTTTCTGTGGCACAGCTGGAACTAGAAAGCTTCATTGTTTCAAGAGTCTCTTCAAAAAAACTATCACTTGACTGCCTAAAAAATAAACAGATTGAGTGGACAGTTAAACAAGGGAGCTCCCCACAAAAGCCATTCCTTCTTTGGAATGTCACTTCTGTATAATATCTATAAGTTTCTGCATTCATTCCAGATGATGACTCCCTGCACTTTATAGCACTCACTGTACAAAAAAAGTACTTTTCACATGTATAATCTTCGAGACACTGACTTACTGGAAATAACTGAAATATTGACAAATCTGCGTTCAAAGCCTGCTCCGTTAAGCTGGGAAGTCACTTAACTCCCGTTTTCTCATTTGTTAAATGAAACTACAAATATCTTATTGTGAAGATGAAATGAGGTGGGACTGGTATAAGTACTTAGAACAACTTGGGCACTTGGCAAGAGCTCAGTGTACGTAAAAAAAATTCTCTTTTCTAAATGATATGCATGGCACACATCAGAAAACCGAGTTCTACAGAAGTCGAGTACTCTCATGAATACACATCCTCCACATGCCAAAGCCGGGGTTTGAAACCTTGCCTCTGGCTTCCCACCCCAGGTTGCTGTCCTATGCACCCAGCAGGCAAAATGCTTTTCCTGGTCCTTTCCTCCAAGCCCCTCATGCTTCTGTGAAACTCAGCTTACCTCTGCTGGGTTCAGGACTCCTGAGCCAGTTACCTTCAGGGGTCTAGCCTCGACCCCCAGAAAACTCCCTCCCTTCCTAATTCACCTTTTACTGTTTGGACTCAGACCTGCAGTTGCCCCAGGAAGGAATGTAAGAAGCAGGTGTGACTCACCTAGCAGGTTGTGGCTTGTCTTCTGAGACTGGAGGAGGCACAACTGATTTCCTTGTGTAGGTCACCAAAGACCTCTCTATTCTGGCTATTTCCTTAATTAGAACAATTTTTAAAAAATTACCCATTCCCCTTTCCTCCACTTACATATTTAATTCAATAGCCTCATTCAGCAGATGAGGAAATGGCTTGCCCAACCCAGCAGAGGGTGGCAGAACTACTAGAGCCCCCAAACTTCACTCTGCCCGTCTAACATTTGTCCCACTTGCCTCCCTGGTTACTCTCCTGCTTATTTATGTTTCCTTGATTATTTCTGTTCTTAGGCTGTGGTTAATCTTTAGCTTTTGAATATCACTTAAAGAGGAGAGATCTTTTGATTAAATGTAAAATGGATGAGCTTGAAGTTACCTGCAGCTGTTTTTCTATTTGTAAAATAGGTCTAGTTTTAACTAACATGCTAGATTTTTGAGATTAGACATGTGAAAAGATGGAATATGCACTCAGTGAGTGATCACTCTTGTGTGAACAACAACAACAAAAGTTACCCTAAGATCATGGGGAATAAATTACCAGTAATGGTTAAGTTATTTCAGTGGAATGTGAGCAGAACTTCCACCCCACTTTCTTAAGAGGACATCTCCATTCTTAGACTTCAACCTTGGAAGCCACATGTTTATAGAAGCAGAGCAATCACTCACCTGGTTTGTATAAAACAGCTATGCCCAACACTCCAACATGAAGGCACAGGCAATGATGTTATCAATAGGACCCCTACAGCTCAGGAAATAATGTTAAGAGTTTATAAATGGGATGATATCAAGTTAACAAAAGCTTGTTCACAGCAAAGGAAACAATTAAAAATGTGAAGAGAGAATCTACAAAATGGGAGAAGATCTTTGCTGATTACTCTTCTTACAGAGGATTAATATCCAGAATATATAAACACTTAATACCAAAACCACACACACAAAAAATCCAGTTAACAAATGGGCAAATGAACTAAACAGACACTTTTTAAAAGAAGAAATACAAATGACAAATATGTGAAAAAATGTTCAACAATTAGGGAAATGCAATTGAAACTACACTGAGATTTCATTTCATACCAGTCAGAAAGGTAGCTAACACTAATAAATGCTGGAGAGGATGTGGAGAAAATGAAACACTTTTAACACTGTTGGTGGGATAGTAAATTAGTACAACCACTATAGAAATCAGTATGGAGATTCCTCAAAAGACTAGGCATGGAACTACCATATGACCCAGCTATACCACACCTTCATATTTCTTTTTCCAAAAGAAAAGTCAGCATACTATTATGAAACACGCCTACTTATGTTTATAGCAGCACAATTCACAATAGCCAAACTATGGAACCAGTGTAGGTGTTTGTCAATGAATGAATGGATAAAGAAAATGTGGTAGATATACACAATGGAGTTTTATTCAGCCATAAAGAAGAATGTTATTGTCATTTGCAGGAAAGTGGATGGAACTCAAGAACATTATGTAAAGCAGAATAAGCCAAACTCAGGTTAAGGGTTGAACATTTTCTATCATCTGATGAAGCTAAAGAGGAGAAAGGAAAAAAAAGTTGGGGGGTGGGACTCATGAAAATCAAGAAACATCAGTTAAATAAAAGGGATCAGGCAGAGGGAGGAGGAGAGGGAAAAAGGAAATACTGGGGAATGATATTGGCTAAATTATACTGTTATATGTTTTGCGAATACGAATATGTAACAACAAATCCCACCATTATGCACGGCTACAATGCGCCAATACAAATATGGAAAAAAAGCTCAGCTATGCCTATCCAGGTGGCACACTGATCTTCAACTAGGATGTGAGAGATAAATAAATGCCTCACTTGTTAAACTACAGGTTGAGTATCCCTAATCTGAACATCTGAAATCCTAAATGCTCTAAAATCTGGAACTTTTTGAACACTGACCTGGTACCACAAGTGGAAAATTCCATACCTCAGCTCCTGTGAGGAGTCATAGTCAAAACACAGGTTCACTAAAAATGTACAAAGTCATCTTCAGGCTGTATGTACAAGGTGTATATGAAACATAAATGAATTTTGTAAGTTTAGAATTGTGTCCCATCCCCCAAGATATCCCAATATGTATATGTAAATATTCCCAAATCTGAGAAAAATCCAAAATTGGAAATAATTCTGATCCTAAGCATTTTGGATAAGGGATACTCTCATGTTATCAGATCTCCCTAACAGTCTTTTGTTTTTATTTTAGCTTATTCTTTTACCCTAATTGGCATAAGTGGCTGTATTATTCCTATAACAAAGGAGAAAACTAGGAGACAGAGAATGGCCCTTATGGAAGACAACCCAGAGAGTCCAATGTCCCTTCCATCACATGAGGATGCAGCAAAAATATGCTGTCTCTGAGCCAGGAAGCAGACCCTCACCAGACACTGAATCTGCTGGCCCCTTGATCCTAGACTCCCCAGCCTCCAGGACTATGATAAATAAGTTTATTTATAGGCCACTCAGTCTATGGTGTATTGCTAGAACCATCCAGATGAACATGGTTTAAAAGAGAGAGCTCTATCTCTACAATCCTCGTCTTGATTTCCCTTTTAAACGAAGTATTTTCCAAGGAGGAGAATGAATTCCTGGCAGAATTATTTCTATATCCCACAATGGGAAGCATAACATATAATGAGCACCCAGGAAATGTGTTGAATTGAACTGGTGGGTTGCCAATTATTGAACACATAGACTGTGCCAATATTTTCACTCAAGCTCTAACCTCACAATGTATATCACAGCAACCCGTGAATATGAAGTATGTTCTGTCATTACTGTTTTACCAAGGAGGAAACCAGGGTCTTAAACAAGAGGTCACATAGCTGGTAAGAAGCAAGGTAAAGTTCAAATGTGGGCTTGCCTTCTTCCAGAGACTGTGCTCTTACCAC